CTAACACCCGCCAGGGTTGGGATTTAGGGACTAGCCGGATTTGAACCCGAGACCTTTTGCATGGCAGTCGGGACTCCTACCGCTTTATATAATAATAATAATAATAATAATAATAATAATAATAATAATAATAATAATAATAATAATAATTCAATATATCAATTTTATTACTAGCGGAAAGTAAAACACTACTGTTTTTTTTTTTTGGTTTTTTTGTTTGTTTGTTTGTTTGTTTGTTTTTTTGATCCGCTCCTTCCCTTGTTGAATTTTGCGGGAAACCCATTCACACACCTGCAGCCCACGAGTGTCTGCAGATTTTTTTTTGATTTTTTTTTTTCTCTTTTCTGTCTGTCGTTGTAACCTTCTATCGCGGTGAACACATGTTAATGAAGCCCCGCGTGTCTGTCACTCACCGCGTGAAAACTGTGATGCAGAACACAGGCCCCGCTGCTTTCACTTTTCACGAAAACACATACGTCCGCCAACCGACGCGTCAACAGGGCGTTTTCACATTTGAGCATTCAGTCCTTTTTTTTTTTTTTCTCATTCAAAATAAACTGTGCGAAACGAGAGCGGAGCCCGAACTCGCCCCGGAACTCGCCCCGGAACTAGAGGACGGACCGGAAACAGGAGAGCGACGTGGCGTACGGTCGAGGCTTAAAGACCAAACAATTTCAACGGTGTCGCAAATATTAGCCTAATCTTTTTTTTCACCTCTACTACAGCAGCAGCAGCAGCAGCAGTACATTGTGCTACCACCGCGTGTTGTTGATATGCATAAAGTCTACACGGTATTATTTATTTATTGCGCTCTCCGGGTGATGGTTGTGGTGGTGATGGTGTGTCGGCTGGTTTCCAGTTCATTAATGATAAGCCACGACATACATGAATATTTACATTGACATCCATGCAGCAGCAGCAGTAGCAGCAGCAGCAGCAGTAGCAGTGAATAAATAGTGTGATGCCACACCTCGCGCACAATTCGGCAAGATTTAATTAGTCAAGTCGTGGTTTTGACAAGCGATTAAAGCGTTTAAATGCGGACGTTTTTTTTCCCCGTAGACTTTCTCCACAAATATTTGTTTGTTTTTTTATTGTTTGTTTGTTTTTTTTGTTACAGTTACATACATTTTACGTACGTATTTTTTTTCTTTTAAAGCAAGAAAAAAAACCATTAAATTTATAGTAAGTTTATATTAAACTCTGTTTAATATAGGGTGATTTTTTATTTTTATTTTTATTTTTATTTATTTTTTATTATTATTATTATTATTATTATTATTATTATTATTATTACGTGCGATTTTGTTAGTTTGTTTGTGTGTGAACTGGTCGACGAAAGCCAAAAAGAGCGTAGGGTTTCTGTGAGTGGTAGTGGTGGAAAACCTAGTCAGTGCTTGCTGGAGAAAAGGGCAACAGACTTGAATAAAGAGGATTAGACTTTTTTTTTC